CTGTAAAGAGAATGGTATCAAGCATCAATTAAGTAATGCATATACTCCTCAGCAGAATGGAATTGCCGAAAGAATGAACCGAAGCTTAATTGAAAAAGCTAAATGTCTCCTGTTTGATGCAAATCTTCAAAAATGTTATTGGGCAGAAGCAACAAATATGGCAGCCTACTTAATCAACAAAAGTATTTGTTCGTCGCATGGAAAAATTCCTGATGAAATATTCTATAAAAAAAAAATAGACATATCTAACCTAAAATTGTTTGGTTGTGAAGCAATGGTTCACATAAACAAAGAAAAACGTAAAAAATGGGATCCTAAATCCAAGAAAATGTTTTTCGTGGGCTATGATGACGACATTAAAGGTTTTCGCTGTATTGATCCAATAACAAAGAAACTGGTTATAAGTCGAGATGTAATATTCTACGAAAAACCTCAACCAAAGTCGACCTTAAAAATCTATAACGACGAAGTGAGGGAAATAAAGAGAAGCGATGAAGACACATTTGAAGAAGTTAGCATAAAACCTGATGAATCGAACGAAGACGTACAAAGTGTTGCGGAAGATGACACCATGATAGAATCACCGAATCAAACCCAAAATGATCCAGATTATGTTCCTGAACAAAGTATTGATGAATCTGAAGAAGAAAGAAGAGTCACACGATCTAAAGCTAAGGTATCTGTACCATCTTTTCAATTTAATGCTTTTGCATTTCTTTCACAGCCATTAACAGTATCAGAAGCTATAAACGGTGAAAAAGCGAAAGAATGGGAAGATGCAATGAATGAAGAAATGGAATCACATAGATCAAATAACACCTGGTCGTTGATGAAACTACCAGATGGAAGAAAGCCTATAAAAGCAAAATGGGTCTTTAAAGTAAAACAAGATGAGGTCGGTAAAGCTGTAAAATATAAAGCACGACTTGTTGCAAAAGGCTGTGCACAAAAATACGGCATCGATTATGATGAAACATTCTCGCCGGTGGTTAGATACACATCAATAAGGTTTTTAGTGGCTTTAGCAGTAAAAAACGGCTATAAAATCCATCAAATGGATGTAGTGACTGCGTTTCTTCAAGGTGATCTTAAAGAAACAATATACATGGAACAACCAGAAGGTTACAATGATGGCACTAACAAGGTATGTAAGCTAAACAAAGCTGTTTACGGACTGAAACAAGCCGGAAGACAGTGGAACTTAAAGCTCGATTCAGCATTAAAAGAATTCGGGTTACAAAGGTGTAAAACTGATCCATGCATTTACTATGATAAAGAATTGAATCTGATAATTGCAATATACGTCGATGATTTCCTTATACTCTACAAAGGTAGTAATAACCTAGAAAAACTAATGCAGTACCTTAACAAAAAATTCAAAATGAAAGATTTGGGATCTGCTCAAAGTTGTCTTGGAATACGTATCACGCAGAGCAAAAATTGCGACGAAATTACACTAGATCAATCGTCATATATAAATGAAATTCTTGAACGTTTTGGTATGCAGGATTGTAAGCCAGTGGGCACACCATGTGAAGTAAGTCAAAAATTGACTGAAAAATGCATCACTGAGAAAAATGATCTGACGGGGAAAATACCATACCAAGAAGCTGTGGGCAGCCTTTTATATTTAACACAAGGAACTAGACCGGATATAGCATTTGCAGTAAATAATGTAAGCCGGTTTAACTTAAAACACTCAAATGAGCATTGGCAAGCTGTGAAAAGAATATTTCGATATTTAAAAGGCACAATTGATTTCAAACTAAGCTATCGAAAAACTGATGATGTCAACTTGGCAGCATTTAGTGACGCTGATTGGGCAGCAGAAATCGACGGCAGAAGATCGTGTTCCGGCTATGTATTAAAAATGTCCAATGCTGCTATAAGTTGGTGCAGCAAACGGCAACCAATAGTTGCTTTATCAAGCACAGAAGCAGAATACATCGCATTGTCTTCAACAGTACGAGAAATAATATGGATGAAAATGTTAGCCAAAGAAGTTGATAAAAACTTGGTTGAAACTACTAAAGTTTTTTGTGACAACCAAAGTACTATCAAATTAGGCTCGAGCGAAGCATACAGACCAAGGACGAAACACATTGATATCAGATATCACCATATACGTGAAAAAATCGATGAAGGTTCAATCAAATTGGAGTTTCTTGGCACTCAACAAATGGCAGCTGATTCGTTAACAAAAGCAGTCAGCAGAGAAAAAACAAAATTTTGCGCTGAACAAATGGGCTTAAGCTCATAATAAAATAAGACAATAATTAACATTTATAATAATTATTGTTTTACTCACAGTTATCCAATATTATACAACATGGGAGGCTGGTTTTCATCGGAGCAGCAGAAATCCAACAACAATGGAGAAGTACAGAACAATATCAATATTAGTGAACCTGTTCCAATACACAACCAAGAAATCTTGATTATGTTAGGGATTATTTGCATTCTAAAAATAATAGAATTTCTATACTTTTTATATCGATTACATTATCGTAAAGTTAAAAGACAGTATCAAACTCAAAAAGTATAATACACTGTAAAACAAAATCTTGCTAAAACCCAAAAAAAAAAAACTGTAGTATAAAATTAACTTCAAATTACATTAAAAAAAACATCAAAAATATTGTAAAAAAAATTTTTATTTTAAATATGAATAATAATTTTGTAAACAATAAGTGAGGGTGTTGAAAATACTTATGTATTTAAATATGTATTTGTATTTGTATATGTGCATATAAAATGCACTCATAAGCTTATTATACTTTATTTACCAGCTTCGCATAATTGTAATACTTATAAGCATATTCTTGATACATTAAACAGTCAGTCCACTCATAAACCTCAAACCGTCGTGTTCTTTATTCTCTCTCTACAGAAAATACCCCGCATTGATTCCTCTAAAATATCCCGTGAAGGAATCGGAGACGGTGATGATGCAGTGGAATATGATGACGCAGTTCTTTTTATTATGGTTTTCTGCCAGTATTTATTAATAACACCTTGAACCTCCATAACTGCTTGCGGCTTATACTCCTCATCCACCTCTTCCATCTGCTCAGTCACTTGCCGACCCAACCACTCAAATTTATTTTTATTTGCTTTTCTGTCAGCTATCATGTTCTTCATGTTTTTAATTTCAGCCGCAAACTGCACTGTGGTTATTTTCGGCTTTTTTGGAACCTTTTCTGTGCTTAAGGGACAGGAAGCGTCATCAGAACCTTCTTCGACCTGAAACATATACAACAAATATGCATACATTGAAATAAATGTCATAAGCATGTTTATATCGCATAAAATATACTTACATTAGTAACACTTTGACGGAATTACACATGATTGTGTAAAAATTTTAGTTGATCAAAGCACCAAAGCTTCGGACAGTGGACATCATCAACACCAGCGCCACTTTTTGTGGAATTCTTCACCGACCGACATTCTTGCAAATATTGCGTTCGCAAACTTTTCCATTTTTTCTTAAGGTCGTCTACCGTTATGCACCCATCAATCTCTTGCATCTTCGCTAGAATATCATGGAGCGCCATTGCTTTTTTCTGGCGGTCTAAATAGTCCTTGGAGCTCACGGAGTAAAGACATTCATGCTCCCGGTACAAATATATAAATTTTCTCAATACTTTCCCTGGTCCACTTATATGCCATTGTCTAAGAAATACAAATAATTGGGCAATTCACAAGGTGTTGTGAAGTTATATTTTCCTAACAAAAGTTGTGTTAAAACACGACGGTTCTGAACACCTGTTACGATTATTTATTATATCTCAGCACTTAACCTCACATAACACCGAATAAACATAGGTTGCAGAGTTGTATCGTCATGTGTTATTTTTCTTCACAAAACAATAACAACATTTTTACAACTGTCATGAAATATCATGACTTCACGACAAACACGACAAATACGACACCTTGTGAATTGCCCAAATACAATTTCGCCAAACTCATATTCAATTTTCAGCGTGGGACTTACTAGAAAATATTTGCAAATCAAATTATGACGCGTGTGGAGGCAAAGAGAAAACACAAAAGAGAATGCGAAAAAATTTGCTTTCAAGACTTGACGTGTCTGAAAGGGGACTAATAAAACTTTTCGCAGTTATTCACCAATTGGTCCCCGAGGAGTACTTTTGGGTTGTGTGCAGCGTTTTCGTTTTGCGCTCACGGCAACACTTACTGTGGGGAATTTCGAAAAAATTTTTTCGAGAATAAAATATATGTAATAATGTGATATTTATGAACAAAAACCATAATATTAATGATTAATTAAGAATAATATCAATAGTTAAGTACATAATTAGGGCTTGTGTTTCTATAAACTGGAAATTTTAAATCGTAATTATAGCACTGAATGCAGTTTTTTTAATGTAAGCTTAAGATTAAACAAATATCCATTGTAAGATTATATTTTAACGAAAAACGTGTATTTTGTGAATTTATCAAGTAAAATTCTAAATTTCCGAATATATTTAAGTCTTTATTAAAAAAAAAAAAAAACAAGGTTTGTATTGTTATAGAGAATCCAATGCCACCCAAGTTTAAGCGACCATTACCCGGAGCTCCTCAAGAATACATAACATTAAAGTATAAAATGTCACAAATATGAATCATATACACATACAATAGTAACTGCTATTTATAAATTCAGGAGCTGCTCCAACATGATGACTAAATTTCAGTAAGCCTCACATGCAACTGCCTCTGGTTACAACCTGGATATCTGAATATTTGAAAATAAATAGCAATTGTCTATTAAAATTATGAGAAAAGTGTTTGTTTACAAAATTGCCTGTGCCACTCTGCCATAGTACGGTTGTTGCTCCCTTTCATACCACAGGAATCTTGTACACAACTCTGAATCAGCAAAATTCATGCTCCTTCTCATTATCAACCCTCAAAGAGGATTATTACTGTATATGGGCATTCCCATGGTGGCGCACGTGACGGTCGTACGATTTCAATGTGATACAAAAAAGGAAAACCATTCGTTTTCTTTAACTTTTTTGGGCCATTGTATAGCACATAATTAGCTCTATATTTAACCGAAAAATGAAATCAATCGAACTGCTTGGTCCTGAAATATAACCATTTAAAGAGAGTGTCGTTACGTGACAAAAAATGGAAGTTGATTTTTTCTTTTCTTACAAAATCGCAAAACTCTGCGAATTGTGGATGGCTATTTTCATGAAACTTATTTTAATATGATTTGGAGCAATTTTAGTTGTTTTTAGAGTTTTTTGAATTAATGCAAATTGTTTCAATTCTCTTTTACAACCCCGAGTGTGAAACGTGACGTGACGTGGCGTCACGTGACATAAATTTCCATCGTTATATTTTTGTTAATATTGCTTTTAAATGAATTTTCAACGCAAATAAAACATGTATTTTATGTAGAATATACTTTATATTTTGACTTCAGCGCCAATTCATTCAGGGTCAATTTATTAGAAATCTATGATTTATTATGTTTCAACCACATACGCCAAATTCGAACCAAATCGGACCATAAATACGGTTTTTCGAAATATCTCGACCTTGGCACCACCTAGGAAGACCATTTTATGCAAACATGATTCTACTTACATAGCCAGTATATATTTTAAAAAGCAGACAAATCGGCCCGTAAATACGTTAGATATAAAACTTTTATTTTTTTTTGTCGTGGTGGACCTTCCGCTGTAAACACCCATATCAGAGTTGTGAAAAATTCATTTATTTTTTAATGCATTAATGGTATTTAAACCAATAATGTTAATGTAAAAAATTAATGCATTAATTTATGAAATTTTTTTTTCATTAAATTATCCAAGCTAATGCTAATGAAAAAGTTTTAATGCACTAAAATGTTTAATACTTTTGCTCGTTTGCATTATTAACAACCATTAAATTTTTTTCTAGTAAAATATAAATAACCTCTTTGGGAAGGACTTGGAATAATAACTAATAGTTTTTCGAGCTTCATTATATTATGTGTATTTGTAGAAAAATTCTTCTACACATTGTTAGATGTTTTATGAAAATGAAAGCCAATGTGCATGCAACGCTGAGTGCTTTTGTAGATTTTTATGTTGATTGTTGATGCATACCGATTACATATATTAAGTATGAGCCAAAAATGGACAGATAGCCAGTTTAGCAGCGCATGTACACGACTGAAGACCTACTCTGATCTAAATCAATCAATAACCCGTTTTTTAGTTCCATTTGACAATGTGATTTTACCTATTTAACGACAAATGCCATTGAACTTGAAATAGTGAAAACTAGCCTTAACGTCCGTCACTATCTTTTTTGACCTTAAAATTCTACCCTCAACGTCAGAAAAGATTTTTTACTTCAAAATAAAATTAGTTAATGGGTTTTTAATGCAATAAATTATTGCAATAGCATTCATTTAAACATTTTAATGTTAATACAAAAAAATCATTAGCATTATTTCTTCGGAATTAATGCATTGAAATTTTCATTTACATTAAATATCAAAAATTAATGCATTCATCTTTTTCATTTACATTAAAATGCTATGCATTAAAAAGTTTAATGCATTTTTCACAAATCTGCTGTATATACTGTGAACGGAAGCCCTAAGAAGCGTGCAGCCGCAATGGGCTCGTTCCACATGGACAAAGGCGTTAGTGTTGTCGGATTTTCCGGGCATACGAAGAGATGTTCCGAGTCGTGGGATTTTTCTCCGCATGCCGGACACTCATTTGGCACATCTGCGTCTAATCTGTTCAGGTATGAGTTTAACCTGCTGCAGTAGCCAGAGCGAAGTTTTGCTATTGTGGTTCTAGTCTCCCGAGGTAGATGAAGCTCCGTCTCGTCGATGTCCGGTTGTTGTGCGCCTAGAACGGAATTCATAGGTCTGGATCATCACTTGAAACTGACTCCCTGTGAGTGCCGTTCGGGGCCTGTCGATATGCTGACGGGTCCAGAGGTCGTTTAATGAACCTCTGGACTTCGTCCGTTAGTTCGTAGAGATGCCTCCTGACATGCCTGGGCGATGGCTCTTCTGCAAGCAGTTGTCTATTTGGGTGGCCATGTCTGTGGCTCCCAACTAGAAACTGCTTGCAGAGCATTGTGTTATGCTCCTTTATAGGGAGCATTTTTGCCTCGTCGTGCAGGTGGTGTTCTGGCGACATCAGAAGGCATCCAGTCGCTGTCGAAGCGCAGTGTTTTGTGTCGTCTGCAGCTTCATCCACTGCATCCTACTAGTCCCCGGCGACCACACTGGTGCTGCGTAATTTAAAACCGACCGGCCTATTGCCTTGTATGTTGCCAGCGACGTTTCTTTGTCTTTGAACCAAATACTGCTGGCTTGCGACTTGAGGACCTTGTTGCGGCTCTGTGCTTTGTTGACAATAGCGGTTGCGTACGCAGAAAAGGAGAGCAGACTGTCGAAGGTTACTCCGAGTATTTTGGGGTTATTCACCGTCGGAGTTGGTGTATCATCGACGTCAATTCCCAGCGGTAGTATGACCTCCTTCGTCCAGGTGGCAAAGAAGGTTGCAGAGGATTTTGTAGGGCAGAGGGTTAGGCTCCTAGCAGTAAAGAAGCAAGAAAGCTCAGAAAGATGCCCGTTTACTTTCGAACACAAGACATCAATTCACTGAATCTGCTTTACATGAAGTGGTGAGCTTAATAGAAAGATCGTTGCACTTTAAACAATATACTCTGGCGGCATTTCTTGACATCGAGGGCGCATTTAATAACATTGAGGTTGGCACCATCATAGACTCTTTGATAGAGTGCTCTCACCACTGCTATGGGTGATAGCCCTGAACGGTATATTGCTAGAACTCAATAGAGGGGGAGTCAAAGTTGTGGCGTATGCGGATGATGTTGTAATAGCAGCCACAGGTCCATTCCTCTCTACCGTTAGCGAAATCCTTGAAGGAACCCTGGGAAGGCTACACACCTGGGCTACGAGAAGCGGCCTAAATGTGAACCCAGCCAAGACAGAACTAATCCTATTTACAAACAGACACAAACTACCACAATTCAAGCTACCATCGCTAGACGGCAAGGCGCTCTCATTGTCCCCCAGCGCAAAGTATCTTGGAGTCGTGCTGGATAACAAACTTAACTGGAAAACCAATGTCGAATTCCGTAGACAGAAGGCCTACATAGCATACTACACTTGCAAGAGAATTTTCAGTAGAAACTGGGGGCTAGATCCTAAACTTGTGATGTGGATGTATACCGCGATCATAAGACCAATTCTAACATACGGCGCCTTGGTTTGGTGGCCCGGCCTAAGCAGACAATATAATGTCAGCAAGCTAAGAAGCATACAAAGGGCAGCAAGCGCAGGAGTAACAGGCGCACTAAGATCCTGCCCGGCAGAAGCTTTAAACGCCATCCTATTTAATTCCTATTGATCTCCACCTGAAAGAAGTGGCTATGAAATCGGCGGTCGGACTCAGAGAGTCGGACATGGGTTGATCATAAATCAAATGCAATTAAATAGGACGACAGATTATATGGTAGGCAATTTGGACTTCAGCTGTAACGTGCAAGTGCTATTCCCATCCAGAAGGGACTGGAGAAGAGACCGAGTGGCCGACCGAGAGAAGATCTCTATATACACCGATGGATCCAAGATGGATTGCGGTGTGGGAGCAGGTGTCTACTCCAAGGAACTCGGCGTGGCTCTGTCTCTACGGTTGGGAAATAATACAAGCATCTTCCAAGCGGAAGTCCTAGGGATCCTAGAAGCCTGCAAAATCCTAGGCAATAGAGTTGGACACAGCAGGAAAGCAACAATATACTCTGACAGCCAGGCGGCGCTATTGGCAATAGCGTCACCGGTTACCAAATCCAAGCTAGTTGGGGAATGCAAAGTAATATTGCGCTCAGTGTCTCAGTCAAATACCGTCCCTCTTGTCTGGGTTCCCGGACATAGGAACATAGAAGGCAATGAGAAGGCGGATGAGTTGGCGAAGGCAGCAGCCGGTTTGGATGAATCCCAGGCAGTGGCACTGGGTTGCCCTCTTGGAGTAGTCCAAAGAGAGATTACTACGCATTTCCTTGAACTGGCTAGACGCAGGTGGTCAGATATACAGACTTGTAAGATAGCGAGAAAACTATGGCCTGACTATAACAGGTCGAAAACCTTGGATGGTTCGACCTAGCAACATAGGAAGTGCATAGACAAGATATTTATCCCCCGCGAGAAGTGCATCAAAATAGCGCAATAATGCGCTAATTGTGTCCTGGGCAGCGACTAGGAAGCACTGCAACCAACCAACCAACATAATATGAATTTCTTCCTTTTGACCAGTTGTCCCCACTTTTACCCATGCCGACAAGTAAATATATTATCACAGTAAATGAAATAAAAAGAAAATAAGAATAAAAAATTCATGTGGTCAAAAGATGACCTAAAATCTAATGATTGTACCTAATATACCTTAAGGTCAGCAAACGTCGGAAAAAGGTACAATTGTACCTACTTTTTCATCCCTGGTAAGAACGCGCCGTTGCATTTGTAATTGGTTTTGAGAAAAAAGATTGCGAAAGCGGGTTCGTCAGCTGAGTGTTGGTTTACATCACAAGCACCACTATAATGTACATTTATTGAACTAAAGAAGAGTTATTTCAACATGACAACATATTCTATAGCGTTTTAATAATTAATTTTACCGAAATTGTGTGCTTAAAATGACTGACAGTAATTTTGACAAATTTGGTTTTCGATGTTTTCTTTGCTTACTTTCTTTGTTTACTTTTCGCTTGTTTTCAACGAAACAAGATGGCGGGTTCTACGCTCAAAAAAATTGACTTTTTTCACTCTATTGTTCTTGAGTGATCTTGTGTCGTTCGTTCATGTAAAAATTTCCAGGTTCCAGTACAATTAGTACCAACTATTTGCTACTATACCAAAAATAATAGAATAGGGGTATTCTCTGAGTCTTGCAAAGCCCTTGCATGGTGCACAGATTGCACGGATTGCACGGTTAAAACCGGTTTTCGTATGGGACAGCTTTGCAAACCGTGCAATCCGTGCACCGTGCAAGGGCTTTGCAAACTCAGAGAATACCCCTAATGTTTCGCCAAAGAACGTAGATAACAAGAAGGGACAACTCGTTATCTACGTTCTTTGGTTTCGCTACACCGTGCTACTACAACACCTATTATTACAAGGGTTAATGCTGCATTTAAAATGCAACATTTAGCACTTTCGAACATATGTTTTCGAAGAGCGTTCATGCTATTGCATTTAGCAAATGTACATTTACGCGAGTTCGAAATCGTATGCTTTTGACAAACAGCCGTGTTCCAGTCGCTTATTCAGATCCGTATCCATTACGATAAATTCTCACGGAAAAGATAATGTGCAAAAACCCCTACTGAAAAGGAAAAATAAATTCTAAACCGAAAATTCAATACAAAAACCTGAATTGTTTTAACCATAACCGAACATTTGTTTGTGTATATATTCATTTGTCGGTGCTGCCAATTATATTTTCCACACCTAATTAGGAAACAAAACAAACAGAGTTGATCACAAATTAATCCAGATTTCTATCAGCATCATATCGATGTTGAATTTGCGTAACTTTTCTTTATCCAAATAATGTAAAATAATAAATGAAATCTCGATCGGCGATCACTGAAACGCAGCTAGCGGTTGTATACTCGAAAAAGCAATGTTGCCACTTTTTCTCATTAAACCATGTTCGAATCGTGGAAATTTTGGAAGATCACAGGGATGCTTTTAGCATTTAGATTCTAAATGCAAAGATTGAGTTGCATTTAGTTGCATTTAGATGACGAATTTTGTATGGATAAATGTACATTTAGAGTAGCATTTAGAGCTAAATGCGCTAAATGTACATTTACCCGTAAGCAAAAACAGCCCATAAGGATAGTAGCTATCGAGCATATGTATCGAATTATTGATGGAAAACATATGTAGAGCATATACAACCAGCCAAGTGTTTTGAGGGCTCGAACGCGATAATACAAAAACTTGGGTTTGCCATTTATGACAGTGTAGACATCATTAAAAACAATTTTATCAAAAATTGTATATCTCCCTTAAATTGGCGTTATGGTGATTACTAATGATATCACTTTACCCACGGATGAAGAACTTACCGTACAAGAGCTGAACTTGTCGACCTCCGCACTCCGAGCTGGTGCATTTCATCTGGGAAAGCAGTGTGAAAATCAGAATAATGTAAGTTCATAGAATGCTCATTACACGTTGCTTTTATGTTAAATCGAAAATATAACATTACTATTGAAATTAGTTATATAATTTTCTCCCAAGTCTAACCTCAACATTTGTGTCTAAACAGCTGATCCAACTGCCGGAATGCTTACCATATCAATAACTACTATTTATTCAAATATGTAAAATTCATAAAATTTTTCTTATAGGAGTTTATGCTATGCCGCCAAGAACTGGATGATCCCAGAGCGTGCTTAAGTGAGGGAAAGGCTGTAACAAACTGTGCTTTGGATTTCTTCCGGAAGGTGAAAAAAACTTGCCATGAAGAGTTTTTACAATATGCAACTTGCTTAGATAAAAGTAGCGGCAACATGGCTTTTGGACAGTGAGTATAAGAAATGTATTTTTTATTTAGTTTTTAAATAGATCAGGAAAAAAACCAAATAACTGTTTCACGCTCATAGTTGCCGAAATACTCAAGGTGTGTTTGATAAGTGCGTTTCTGATAACTTGGGTATTGATCGCCCCGATTATGGATATTTCACTCGTGCAAAGGTATGTATACAAAACTTTTTTTATAGATTTGTATCAAATAAATTTGCATAAATTGCAACAGATTCATTCAACTGAGCGCGAAGCACCACCTAAACCCCAAAAGAAGGAATATCCAGATGCTACACCTGGTTTACCCGATGATTACCCCAGGCCACCAGCCAAATATGGGGCTAGATTCCACTGGCTGGAATAAACAAAAAAAAGGTTATAATTACGTCCGATTTTCGGATAAGCATTCACTGGAAATTATTATATTTTGAATTGCAATCATAGAAAATACAGTGCTTAAATAATTTAATATATTGCTAATATTTTACTTATTTGAGACTCAAAGCTGCTATAATTTCTTTGCCCTTCAATCAATCGGTAGAATACTTCATATCAAAATTTAATTTAATTTTTTTACGTATACTTTTATTTAACGAACTCTTGGCTTTAATAAACATTTTTTTATCGCATCCATTATATTCAAGTACTGGTTGTTTAAGCAACAACCACAGTAAGTAAGAGGTAACCGGGCGCTGCCTTCAATGCGACGATGAAGAGGCACACTTTGGTAGAACATCCAGTGGTTTGACTCCTCACCCATGAGAATTATTATTTTGTCAAAGCGATGGCCATCAACCACAAACAGATTAGAATTGCCAGAAATTACTCGCCACTCTGAATACCGAACATTCGCATTGGGAGGTAATTTCATCTTCTCCCGCGACATTACCCGATCGAACTTTGAACGAATGAACATTAATAAATTAGTCTGGTAATGTTAGAGAATACAAGATTCCTTACCCATTCTCGCACTTGTGTTAGAGATGCGCCGGGTGAATGCTTTTTTCTTGTCAAACTGATGCGCGGATAAAGCGGATCACTATATGTATTTAAAAAAATATCAATATTTTTGGCGCTCATTTTTTTAATGTCTACTTACATATAATTAACAAATGTCATGCGTAAAATAACGAACTCGAAGTGTTCTCTTGGTGCCATTTTTAATGTAACGCTAAAAAATTATTTTTATGAATTCGGAGCTCAACTGAAAGATCTTTTTCTCTTTATTCTACCTGAAAGAATGCCACTGAGTAACCGCGAACGGTGGCTTTTAAAGGCCAGTTGTCGTCATTCTGCCTACCTGTTTGGCTCATTAAATAACAATCCCAATGTTAGCTGACCCTCAGTAACTAGGTGATTTCAGTTTATTCAAGAATTAAGACAGCTGCTTTGTAAATTTCTAACGTTAAGTTCTTCATTGTTTTCAAGGTTGAGAAAGTATTGTATAAATGTAACATTGAAAATCTTTTTTTATTAAGTATTCAAATTTATGATGTATTTGGGAACGAATTTCCGTCATCCCTTGTCGTTCCAAAATACATCATACACTCACCCTGTCGGAAACAACAACAACCAAAAAGGAAATACTCAAATTTACTTACTACAATACATACATATGTACAAAATAGCTAAATTTAGTCGGAAAAATGTATTATTCTGTGTACCATTTGGTTCGTTTTGGTAGTTGAGATTCTTTCTCATGGGATTCTCCGGTACTACCCACATTAGCTCTACTATCTATCATTAGTTTATATTTCTTTACCAGATGTTCCAAATCATCGCGTTCTTCTCTTTTTCCTTGTTTCGGTCTATCTATCGATTTGCGCTCAGCCAAATGTATTTGTCGAATCTTTTTAGCCTTTTCCTTACGTTTCTTTGCCTTAACATTTTTCTTATGCTCCTGCGATTGCTCAGCAATTTTCTTGTTTGATCGCATTCGTATGTTTGAACCGGGTTTGGCCGCTGTACCAACAAAATTATCAAGTTCTTCTACGGACTGCGGTTTATTTTGAGCATTGGCTTTTACAGAACGTGATTCTTCTAGTTTTTTTATGTGCTTCTTTAATTTTTCCTTATTGTCACTTTGAGGGAACCTAGTATTTTCAGATAGCTTTTCCTGTTTTTTTAGTTTTCTATTTTCTTTAATTTTTTCCATTTTTTCTAGGAATGTGGGGTTGTTTATTTTTGATTTCTGTTTCCTCTTCTCCTTGATTTTTTCCACAGCACGATCCTCAATACTAAATGCGACAATAGGGCGCTAAACAATCAAACGGTAGTCAATACATACCTTATTAATATTTTAGCGATCAATAAAATCCACTATGGAAACTTACATGTTGCGTTCCGAAAATTGATGGGTTATTGTTTAGTTTTCGCAATGCCGACAGTGCTTCTTGATGTGTGCTAAATGACATAAATCCAAAGCCTTTTGATTTTCCTTTAGGATGCTCTGGTGTAATTTTGTTTTCCCGCATAACTCTGCACTCGTGTGGTCTAAATCCCGCATAAGTAATAACCATTCGCTTCAGTTTTTCATTATCGAAATTAAGAGGTAAATTATGAATGGATAAACGGTTTCGTGAAACAAATCTAAAATTGAGGAAAATGCATGTAATTTAAAGGATAACGAGAGCTTTAAAATATTAATACCTATTAAGATTTTTCAGTACTTGAGTTTTTATTTGCTCCAGTTTGTGTCGCTTGGCCATGTCAGATGCAGATACCCCTTCAGCAGATTTGGAATTCGCCATAATCAATCCTTCTCTGGCTAAATATAGATTCCGCGAATCTTTTGCCACTTCTTTATTAGATTTTATTCTTTCTTGGTTTCGGATTTCATCCTTGCTTAAAGCCGGATATGGTTCGAGAAACTGATCCATCAGGGAGATTTCGGCTCCAGATTGCAGGCAAAGTTCAGCCGACGCTTTATTTTTAAATTTGACAAAAGCCGTTCCTTTGGAGTGACCGGAAATCGGCTCACGATTAACAATAGCATAATGGACTGGACCAAACTTTCGAAAGACTTTACGTATGTCGGTATCTTCTGCATCGAAAGGGACATTTTTAATGAAAATGGTGCATCCGTTTTGAACGTCGTTTGAAATAAGCTTTTCTTTGTTAATTTTTCCGATTTTTAATTTAGATGTTGACCCCTTTTCGTCTTCATCAGAATCCGTAAAAAGTTCATCCTCCATTGCACTTTTGCCCTCATCATCCGTTTTTCTGTCGCTTTTGTCATCTTCTTCATCCGATTTATCTTCTTCCTGACAATACATATATTCTTAAATAAAAACTACATATATGAAAAATGTAATTGTTACCTCTTTAAACATTTCATTAAATTTGTGCCCATCTGTTTTATTTTCCAGTTTGGGTTTTTTCTCATCGGGTTCCTCTTTTTTTGCTATATTCTTTTTGTTTGTGTACTCATCTTTGCCCAAGGCCCAATCAATGTTCAAGGGCCGACCTAGGAAGTCCAGTTTATTGCCTTTTAGAATTGCCTTGGATGCTTGATTAACCGCGCTGTATTGTACAAATGCACATCCAACTAATTTGCCGTCTGGGCGCTTCAGAAGGTTTAGCTCTTCAACATTACCCCATTGACTAAAATGCTTTCGCAGTACGTCTTCTTTAGCTTTATAGCTTATATTCCTGGCAATGATTCGAGCCTTCTTCTTTAGCCTGCGCTCTTTATCTTCTTTTCGGAGCTGTGTACTGAATGGATTTTTACGCTTCTTGTTTAAGTCGGTGGCGCCATCGCTTTGCGCACTTGATTCTGGTAAATCCATAATATAAATGTAATTTTAGGGATACTTTATTCAAAGTACTTTAATAAACGTAAAGAACCAAAACTTTTCGCAATAGATATGTCATAGAGATGGAAAAATATCGACGATACTATCAATATATCGATGGTTTGTGTTTTACAAACATACTATCGATGTTTGAAGATATAGGCGCGTATTCATACTCCAGCAACTAAGGGCCTGTGCCAATCGGTAACTTTTTTCTCCGTGGTGAGACGGGGTGGAAAAATTTGCTATGGTGTACAAATAAATTGAATTTTGCTGTGCCAAATGCAGAGTTAAATTTTGACAGTTGAAAAACCAAACAAACGCTCGAGCGAAAGCTTTATTTTTGTGTGTTGCTGAAATTCTTAAAATTTATATTTATTTTATAATTTGCAAGTAACGTACGCTTTTTTTATGCTGTTTCAGCTTTCATTTTCATGTTCACTCCTTATTACCGCCAAGCAATATTATGTGTATACATGGTTATAAGCTGTCAAAATTTTACCTAGCCCCATGAGCTAGGTAAAATTCTGACGTTCTTATTCACCACGAGAAATGTCAGATTTTTACTTTGATCCGTCAAAATTTTCTCTTTTCAATCATTTGGCACAGGTCCTAAGTGGAAACTAACAAAGTTGCAACTTAAATTTAAGTACCAACTTAAAATTTACCTCTATTCATAGTCGCATTTCAGACTTCTACTAAGTAGTTTCGACTTAGTTTAAGATATAGCAAAACGAGTGTGAAAATGTATCGATTTTTCTTTACGATATTTTGGAAAAATTACATTTTTATTAAATAATGTCAAGCTTGATCATCCGTTTATGTAATTTTTATTTTCATTGCATGATTATGCAAAAGAATAAGGTATCATTTTCTTGTTAATTGTGTGAAATAGCCTGAACAACCGCAGTGATGTGAAGTCGATGTTTATCGAAAGCATACTGTGAAACATACAAATAGTAGATATCTAAATGTTATGCACAAATTTACTTATTATTTGAGAATTTATCTAAATTATTCCAATTATAAAATTGTGATGTAACTTTATTCGAATTGTAATACGCATTTAAAACTTCATTGAAAATGCAATGAACGCAAAAAAGGCTGAAATATTGCTATGTTCCTTCTTAGCAGAACGGAATTTAACATTTTCAACAACCGACCACCTAACCAAATGTCTACAAGAGAAAAAAGATATTAAAAATCAACGCGATTCTTTAGCAATTTAAAACTTGGACATTATTACCCTGGAAAGTAATGGGCTATCAAACTGCATACTCAAAAAAATTCTTAAAAATCTGAATAAAAAGTTGAAAATCTAGCTGAAACTTTGCAGACTTTTTATAATTTTTGCACAAAGTTTGAAATGTGGACTTATATTTTGTTTGTTATATAATGAGCTAGGCTTTTATGGAAAAATAATAAACATTAAATAAACAAAAGAAAAACAGCCACAATCGATCAAAATATTGATGACTTAATCAGGTGATCACAAGTGTACATATGTATACAGTTTTTTTATATTAACGATCTCAAACCAGTTTACAATGAATTTTAAATGTGATCTGACGAAATGAGATTTTAATATACCTTACATATATACTTGTGTACAATAAGTTTAATAAGAACAATTCTGTGTGCATACATTTGAAAAAGACGTTTTTGGGTAGGAAATGACGTTTTTCATACCAAGAGGGACGTTTTCTCATGCCGAAGCCCTGGCAACACTGCTTGGGACCTCTACGAGGGGAGTACATCGTTGCAAATAGCAACGACAATGTCTACAAAGCGTGACGATGCATATACACTCTGTGACGACCCCTCCTACAGTCCCCCCGGCCATGTGGCGTTCTGCGTAAGCGATAGGATTGCGCTCATCTGCCAAAAGGCGACGTACGCGCTCCCGTACCTACGGAGACTGATAGCGGATGGGCACTTGTAGAGAACCTTATACCCCCAAGTCGGTTGCGAAGTAAGACGATCTGAAAAAGTTTTAAAAGTTTATGCGCAAGTGCCCAACGAACTTCCCACGTGTGTTTGGGCGCATGCCTGCTTGTGCTTTGCTTTTGCGTATTCTGTTTTTAGCGCATGCCTGCTTGTGCTTTGCTTTTGCGTATTCTATTTTTAGCGCATGCTGGTGTGTGTGTGTATGTGCGCTGTGAATATTCTACCCAAATGTATGTACATCGTATGTACATGCCTGATGTATGTGGGTAAGCATATCGTATGTTCATACATATTTACAACGTAGGATAGATTTGTGGTAGGTTGTGGCTGCAAATATTGTAGCGTAGTGAATGCTACGTTACGGCGGACGAAAGGTCGTAGTATTCTGGAGTTTTGGCCTGGAGGCCTGCACTACCTTAGGCAAAGCCTAGGAAAATTTTACCATCGTACGGAACGGTGGCTCGGCCAGTGTGTGTTCGCGGTTCGCTTTATTAAGGTATTATTTGTTATTTATATTTCGCCTTACGTCTAAGGGATTCTCTTGAATAGTACATTGCAAATTTCCCTTAAGCTTAGGGGGTTTGTTTTTTGACAATAATATAACAGTATAATAACAAAAGATTTTTTTTTACAATAATATAGTAGTATAATAACAAGAGAAATATGGATGTATATGTAATTGTACTATGGTTGAGTATCACGTGGTGGTTGCCGTCCTAAGGCCATGACGAGGTAGGTGAAAACTTCGTTCGCTCCGTTACACCGGGGGGTGGCCTCTACTTCTCAAACTTGAACAGCTTCCTTTGACTCTGGAATTGGACTAAAGTATGGTCCGGGCCTTTTCTGGTCGCGCGGGCGCGTTGCCTTTTCCAGAGGAAGCACCAACGTCGCGAGTTTCCTTGTGGATGCTTAACGGTGATGCCTTGGAATACGCCCTCGCTGTTGGCTATTGTCGCCGCAACTGGTGGGCATTCGTGGCTGGCTATGAGTCGCGTATCTGTGCTTTCGTATGCGGTATCTTGGGTTGCGTCGGCCGTTGGTTGCAGCTCCCCGCTGAAGTTGTGGGTGTCAACGGTTGTGGTGTTAGCGACAGCGGGGTTGCACGTCATGGCGAGTAATTGGTGCTGGGCATTCGCATCGGGTTGTACTATTGGCGGACCATATTTTAATGCTTAGTATAAGTGGTTTGTTGCGAGGCCATGGTGTAGCATCAAGGGGCGGTCGCCATGGGGATATTGGCCACGGTTTTTCTGGCGGCCTTGCTGCGTTTTCGTGTTGCCATTCTGCTTGCGCTGTAGGCGCTCTTTGATAGCCAAATCCTTCCATCGGCGAATAATTCATCTACTTCGTTATTTATTGCCAGCTGCATAGCGGGGTTGCGCGGGCAATAACGTTGTTTCAGCGGCTGGTTGTGCCGGAGCGTGATTATGTGCTCTGCGGCTGTGCTCGGTCCAGTGCGTTTTAAGGATATGATCTTGCGGTGCTCCAGGAAATCTCCTAGCTCCTGGTTCTGCTTCTCGTTGAGGTGCGCTTTCTCCGCTAGGCCGCACAGAGCGGGTGTCGCCCCTACCTTTGGTGGTATAGCGCAATGTGATGACAATTCCTCGTTTTGCTAGGAAGTCCATTCCTAATATTATCCGCTCCGCCAGGTTGGAAATCACTGCTGTATTCAATCCTGACGGGATAGGCGTGCGTGCTTGCGACGCAAGTTTGATCCGCGAGTTGTACGTCCTGCTGATTGGGCAGGGGCTGGATGTTGCGCGGTACCAAATGCGCGCGCGTGCTCTCCTCGACGTACGTCAGCGTGGCTCCTGTGTCCACCAGCGCCCGTAACTTCAGGCCTTCGATGGTGATGTCGGCGTCGAAGCGGCCGTCGATGTGTCGCCTCTCAGGTTGCCTTGATGTAACTGCGGCGGTGCGTGAAAATGTAGCCGTCGGAGCTGCTGATGTGGATTGCGACACCGGCAATCCCTGGAGAAGATCCCATCCTGTCCGCATCGCGAACAGAATAGCCGCCGCGCGCTGATACAGTGGATGCGTGTATGTCCGCGCTTCTTGCATCGCCAGCAGGTGTTCCACCCGTCGTACTGGTTTCCCACGGTCGACAAACTGTGCGCCGCCTGTCGGTTTTGTCTGGATTCCTCGTTCTTCAGTAATTCGTACTCATCGGTGAGCTCCATCAGCTCTTCGATGGTCTGGAATTCATTCCTTTTCAAGAAGAGTCGGTACTCGACGCGCAGGCCGTCGTAAATGCGCTCCAGATGGCCGCTCAGGCAGGAAAAATCTTTCTGCCTCGGTACGGAATCTGGCCCAAGTGGTCATCTGCTGCCTCCGGATACGAAACCACTGGAGTGCTTTGCCACGTAGAACTTCGGGGAGAGTTGGGAGGAGTTGCTCCCTCAATCCTGTCCAGAAAGTCGTGCAGGGTGTCGCCGCCGGAGTAGTGTACGTCCCACCGACGGACGGTGCTCATCACTTCGGCGTTGCTCATGCTGTCCCGTTTGTGGACTGCCGTTTTCGCTCCTCCAGGGTGTAGAAAGGATTCCCCCAGTTTGATGGCTGGGTGTGATTCGGGTAGCGATTTTGCTATGCTGGCCTCCTCGGCTGCGCTCTCTATTTCCAGCTCGCTGAGGAGATTTTCGGTCGACTTCCTGGTTCTCTTTGCTCTGACAAAGTTGCTCAGAGCGCTGCGTAGCTTAGCGACAGTACTTCCTTCCACTAGTAACTGGTGTTGTCTGCACTCTTCAACTAACCTCTCTTTCTTGAGAAGATATATCCAGCCCAGCGAGTCGACGTTCAGCGTCGTGGTGTTGTTTTCGCTCATCCGTGTGTCAGTTGTTGGTTGTGGTGTGTTCGGTGAATCCGCTTCCGCAGTGTTGGTGCTTGTTGAAGTTTTTGCACATGCGCCTGCAGAGCTGGGTCCATGCTCGGGCACCATTTATGAGGTGGGTTTTGTCGAAGGCTGAGGTACGCTCAGCCGACCTAGGGTACAATGGAGGTCCCACTAACCCCACCAAATAAAACACAATAGTTAGTGTAATACGGAGAACACACATACACACACGAGGCGAGATATGGCCAGAGCGCCGGCAACCTTTCGTCCAAGAAGTGAGAGAGAGGGAGAGTAACAGCGGCTATGCGT